CATACTATACAGTTGAAACACTCAATTTAACATCATACTTAGGAATAGTAGGTTAGTATGTGACTTCAAACGCAGCCATAGTGTGTCGGGATAACTTATAAATAAGAATAGTACACTGTTATCTCAGCACCTTAACAGATCTCTGGCTGGCAAATCAGTAACACAGATATTGCTCTTTGTTTTTTAAAGCATAATAAAATATTAAATTACGTACGTACGTAAATAATAAAGAGACTCCGTGGAAGTCACCTCTGTCCACTTAAATGTCTCACAATTCACAAGTGCTTTATTGGAAAACAACATGTTTTATTTCCACTTTCTAAGAGACAGCTGATCTTTGTTTCTTTGTGCAGGATCAAGGCAGAGGACTCTATGGACGTAGGTGTGATCATGCTGTTTTACGGGCTTTACTACGGCGTCATGGGAAGAGACTTTGCTGAGATCTGCTCTGACTACATGGCTTCTACAATCGGGGTAGGATTAGGATTAGGTAAAATGTGTCAAACCTTGCAGTGTTTAAGGGTTGATCAAATCTCAACACACAGATGTGATAAAAGTTTCGATCCAGTGTGACTTTCACTTCCGGTGGCTATTTTATCTCAGATGTCCATCACCATGGTCATCTGTCTGCTTAGAAATTGTTTAAAACATCTAGTAGCGAATTCAGCTACTTTAATGGATGCTAATTTAATAAAAATGGTGAACATATATTTTAGGCTACAAAAACCTGACTTATGACAATATCATCTTCACACCTTCATACTATAGTTCCATAATCGAAAATTATCCCCTTAATAAAAGTTAGTTAAAGAGTGACAAAATCCATTAATACTGTCTTTTTTTATGTTAAACAAGTATGTGTTTGACATTATTATTTACAGATTACGTCACAGATATTTTCCCTGTGTTGTTGAAAACCTTAAGAAAACCTGTGGACACATACTCTAACGTGTGTGTTATTTCAGTATTATAACAAGGGAGGCATGCCCAGCAGGAGCCTGAC